GGTGATAACAGTGACCACTCATCAGGCTGCTGGGAGGATGTGTCAAGGCAAAGGAGCCAAGCACTTAACACAGGCTGGATCCCAGGCTGCGTGCTGCTGCCTCACATGATGGCTGTGTTCCACGTCATCTGGAGGAACTGTCTCAGGTGTCCGCCTCCTCCCTGGAGCTACTTGGCATATTGGTCCACCACTTGCCTCTGAAGCAGAACCTGCTATAGCACCTGGCATAAGGTCCTCAGGAAATACCGGAGGGGTGAACCATGCTGTCCCAGCTCCTTTTCTGTTGCTATAACAAAATACCCGAGACAAGGAAATTTCCAGAGGAAAAGGGTCATATTTATAGCATAGGAGACTGGGAAGTCCAAGAGCATGGTGCTGGCCTCTCCTGGGCACCTGGTGAGGGCCTCCTGCTGTGCCACAGGTGGCCCACGGTGTCACCTGGCAAGGCACAGCAGGCATCCTCTTACTCTTATAAAACCACTAATGCCTCATGGGGTCCCACTTCCAGACACTAGGAGCCTAGGAACCTGGGAACTCAGTGTCCAAGGCAGGAACTTTGGGAGGACGCGTTCAAACCATTCACTGAGCACCTACTATGTGCCTAGGCAGGAAGCCCTGAGATGGAGTGACCTGGGGACCAAGGCCCGTCACACACGTCGGCTGAAGCGTCTGGCAGCAGGAGCTTTGTTGACACTATCTAATCCCCGGCACCGTCCTGGGAAGTGGGACTTCACGCCCACCTTACGGGAGGGGACATTCCCGGCCTCCGCGAACCTTGAGGGGCCCAGGGTCCCGGGCAGAGGAGGCACCAGGACCCGGGCCACTGTGCTGCCCCCTGCGGGCCACCCCGTGAGGCTGCCCACGGGGATCCGGGGCTGTAGGTCCCGTCCAGCAGAGGCCGCCCAGGGGGAGACGGTGGGGACGCCAGTCCAGGCGACGCCCCTCTGCTCTCCAGGAACCAAAGACCTCGCCAGGTGGCAGCGCATGGGCACGCCCCGGGTCACTGCGGTGAGGCCCTGCGGGGGCCGGGCTGTCCCTCCCCAGTGGCCCTGCCCGGGGCGCCCTTGACCTTGGCCTCAGATCCAGACCCTCTTCCCCGCGGAGCGCGCGCCCAGGTTCAGGAGGCTAACCCAGCGCGACGGCGACCTTGCGCGGCGACCTTGCGCGGTGACCCGAGGGTGTCCCAGACTCCCCCTGGACCGGAGCAGAGTGGAAGGCAGGTGGCCTTGGAAACTGTCCCAGGTCGCAGAGGCCAGGGGACCCCAGGCCTGGCCACCCAGACCCCCGCGGGGTGCAGGGCTCTCTGAGCCCCTCCGGGAGCCCTGGCCAGCCCCGGGCGCCCGCGTGGCCCGCAGCGGAAGGACACAGCGACCCCCTAATCAGGCCGCTCTGGGCGCCGCTGATTAATCGCGGCTCAGCGTTAAAAAAGGAAAGAAAGGCGCCGTCGGCCCCGTAAATCAGCGTTTATTTAACTTTCCTGGCATTTAATGATTGCGAGCCGGGGAGAGGGGGAGACGGGAAATTAATTTGCGTCTCGCCAGAAAAGCCAGCGAGGGAAATAATGAACTTCCCGAGTGTCGCGCAGGCGGGAGATGCCGGGGACAGCGCCCCGCCACCGTCCAGGACGGGAGCAGCGCTGTGCCACTGATGGATAGGCCGTCACCCTCTCTGAGCCTCCCACCTGGGGAGAGGCGGGCAGGCAGGGCCTCGGGCTAGTGGCAAACCCCCGGCCATGTCCCTGGCCATGTCCCCGGGTCTTGTCGGGATGGAGGGGAGCGGGCACAGGGGGCGCCCAGAGGCTGAAGACGGTCACCGTGACCATGTGCTCAGACACCCCAGAAAACAGAGGCCCACGGTGTCATCTTCCCAGAGCAGGAGCCACGGGACCTTGCAGGTCACCTACTTGACCCCCTGATTCTACAACACGGTCGCTGAGGCCCTGCGAGGGGCAGGGAGTGCCCTAGCCACTCAGGGCTGGGGCCCGAGCCCCCTCCCCTGGGCGCGGCCAGCACCTCCGCCTCCCAGGCTGTGTGCAGAGGGTGAAGGACCGAGGGGCGGGGCGCTGCCAGCCAAAGTCCCAAGGCTGATTCTCATTGGCCCAGTTCGGATCACATGACCTTCCGGAACCAGTCACGTAGCCAGGAGAATGGAACGTGCTGATTGGCAGGCAGAGGCACGTGACAGGTCAGGAACAGGTGTCTCCCACTTTGGCCCAGACCTGTGCCTCTGCCAGGTGATGCACTGCTGCCTGGGCCTCATGTCCCCACTGACCTCTTTGTCCCCACTGTCACCTTCCCTGAGTATCCTGAGGCCCAGCTCAAATCCCATCTCCTACATGGGGCTTCTGTGACCGCCTGGTCCCAAGTCGCCTCTCTCTGTTCTAACTCCTGTTGGTCCCTCTGGGTGACTCTGGCTGAGTCTGTCGGTGGCTGAGGACACAGCTTGCCTTGAGTCTGCTCGAGAACAGAGACGTCGTCTCCTTTATCTCTGGGCTCAGGGCCCAGCACCGGGTACCGTCCTGAAAAGCAAAAGAAGAAGAAAGAAGAAGGAATGGCTTGGTGAGGGGTCAGTGCTCCCCGGATGATCTCAAATCCCAATACCGACCTCCACGACCTTCCCGCCCTCTTCTTTGATAAGACAGTTCACTGTTGGACAACGGGCCCTGCCGGGATAGTCTTCCTGGTGTCTGACTTAGATCCTTCCTGCTTTTCTTCAGTTGGTGGGGAGCTCTGGGCCCAGTCGCCACCTTCCCCAAGGCCTTCCTTTCTGGCTTTGCCCAGTCTTCCTCCCTCC